CAAGTCTGGTGGGGAGCGACTGAGGGAGCTGGGGCTGTTCAGTCTGGAGGAGGCTGAGGGGGGACCTTATGTCTCTCTACGGCTACCTGAAAGGAGGGTGTAGTGAGGCGGGGGTTGCTCTCTTCTCCCAAGTAACTAGCGACAGGATGAGAGGCAATGGCCTCAAGTTGCATCAGGGGAGGTTTATATTAGATATCAGGAAAAATGTCTTTACTGCAAGAGTGGTCAGGCATTGAAACAGGCTGCCCAGGGCAGTAGTGGAGCCAGCATCCCGGGAGATGTTCAAAAAACGTGTAGATGTGGCACTTCGGGACATGGTTTAGCAGGTATGGTGGTGTTGGGCAGATGGTTGGACTTGATGATCTTAGAGGTCTTTTCCAACCTTAATGATTCTGTGTTCTTCTAAATTGCATAGAGTTATGGGATAGAAGGTGACTTGGTGGAAAGCAGGGCTTTAGTTAGCGATACAAAGTGGAGGACGTGTGCTGTCTAGCTGTTAATTATTCTGATTATTCATTCACATTGGCTTAGAGACCTGTGGTTGCCTTTACTGAATGTAGTTCTCCCTTGTATCTGACTTTGCCTTTTGTGGCTTCCAAAAGCTCAGCTTTGGTGAGCATTTTCTTTTCATAAAGAAGGTTGGAGTTGGATCCAGTGTGGACACTGCTAGAGAGGATGACCTTGGCTGGTGATAGGTGCAGGCATTAATGACAGGCTAGATGAAGAGTGTGGTAAACTTGCCAGTTCCCAGAAGAAACATTGTCTCCAGGGCAACTGACAGGATAGGACAGGGGAGATTCGGGACATGCTTGCCAGGATGCTTGATCCCAGTGGTGTCTTTTCAGATTTTACCCTATGGAAAGCATGGGTAAATGGTTCCTGTCACATGTTTATAAAGTTACTGGTGCCACAAACCTTTGTGTGTGCCTGCTTTGGGGATGCATGGAGCACGTTTCTCAGATGAGAGAGACAGATGTTGCTTTTCTAAGTTGTGCTTCCACACTTTCTGGTTGAACTCCAGACTGAATCGCCCCTGGAAATTGTTTTGTCTCTTGGGTGTCCTTGTCTGTGCTGGCTCTTGGGATCCTGAATCTGAAAAGGAAAGTGGGAAGTGACTCCAGGGGCCACGCAGGCTTCAGACTAAGGATAAACAGTGTCATACTCCACCGGCAAATCACAGCCCGGTCCGGAGAAGCAGAAACACACCTTAGTAAAAG